CATCATACTACGTAGTCTGAAAACCCTTTGACTCCTGATGATGTGGGAACTTTCTATAAGTTTGGCAAATAAATATAGTTAATGTCTTTTAAGTAAAGTTGATGTCTTTTATAGGCATTTATGATTGGTGTCTTTTTTTTCCCCCCTTTTTAGTGTACCTCCACAGGTATGCCAGCCCATATGCAAAGCAGATCTATGTTAAGACCACTGGAGCTATCTTTATCCAGTCAAACCTCATACTCTGAAAATGAAGTTTTAAAGAAGGAGTTAGAAGCAATGCGAACTTTTTGTGATTCAGCAAAACAAGACCGACTCAAGCTCCAAAATGAACTGGCTCACAAGGTGGCAGAGTGCAAAGCTTTAGCACTGGAGTGTGAAAGGGTCAAGGAGGATTCAGATGAACAGATAAAGCAATTAGAAGATGCATTAAAAGATGTGCAGAAGAGGATGTTTGAGTCAGAAGGTAAAGTGAAACAAATGCAGACCCATTTTCTTGCCCTTAAAGAGCACCTGACCAGTGAAGCAACTACAGGGAATCACAGACTGACGGAGGAACTGAAGGATCAGTTGAAAGACATGAAAGCAAAATATGAAGGTGCTTCGGCAGAAGTGGGAAAACTAAGAAACCAAATCAAACAAAATGAGATGGTGGTAGAAGAGTTTAAGAGAGATGAAGGCAAGCTGAAAGAAGAAAATAAGCGATTGCAGAAGGAATTTAGTATGTGTGAAATGGAGCGAGAGAAGAAAGGAAGAAAGGTCACAGAGATGGAAGGCCAGTTAAAAGAATTGTTAGCAAAGTTGGCTCTTTCCATTCCAACAGAAAAATTCGAAAACGTGAAGAGCTTATTATCGAATGAAGTGAATGAGAAAGCAAAAAAGTTAGTAGAAATGGAGAGAGAATGTGAAAAATCACATAGTGAAATTAGACAGTTAAAGAGAGAACTTGAGAATGTTAAGGCCAAGCTTGCTCAGCATGTCAAACCAGAAGAACATGAACAGCTCAAGAACAGATTGGAGCAAAAATCAGGCGAACTTGGGAAGAAGATCACAGAGTTAACACTGAAAAATCAGACATTACAAAAGGAAATTGAAAAGGTGTATCTGGATAATAAGCTCCTCAACCAGCAAGTACATAACTTAACAATTGAAATGAAAAATCATTATGTTCCTTTAAAAGTAAGTGAAGAAATGAAAAAGTCACATGATGTCATTCTTGATGATTTGAATAAAAAGCTTTTAGACGTAACACAGAAATATACAGAAAAGACCTTGGAAATAGAGAAACTGCTGAAGGAAAATGACAGTTTAAGTAAGAACGTTAGCCGCCTGCAAGCTGTGTTTGTTCCTCCTGAGAAACATGAAAAAGAGATAACGGCTCTGAAATCCAATATTGTTGAACTTAAAAAACAAGTGTCTGACCTTAAGAAAAAATGTGGTGAAGACCAAGAGAAAATACATGCACTCACGTCTGAAAGCGCTAACTTGAAAAAGACTATGAGTAATCAGTATGTGCCAGTTAAAACCCATGAAGAGATGAAAGTAACATTGAATAACACATTAGATAAAACTAACAGAGAATTATTAGATGTGAAGAAAAAATTTGAAGGTATAAATCAAGAATTTATAAAAATAAAAGATGAGAATGAAATATTGAAGAGAAACCTGGAAAACACTCAAAACCAAATAAAAGCCGAGTACATCAGCCTAGAAGAGCATGAGGAAAAGATGAGTGCTCTAAGTAAGAGCATGAAAAAGGTACAGGAGGATAATGCTGAAATACTGGCTAACTACAGACAAGGCCAAGAAGAGATTGTGAGGCTGCATGCTGAGATTGAAGCCCAGAAGAAGGAACTCGACACAATACAAGAATGCATTAAGCTAAAATATGCACCAATTATCAGCTTTGAAGAGTGTGAGAGAAAATTTAAAGCAACAGAGAAGGAACTAAAAGAACAGTTATCAGAGCAGACACAAAAGTACAGTGCCAGGGAAGAAGAGGCCAGGAAAAACAAGCAAGAGAATGACAAGTTAAAGAAGGAGATTTTTATCCTTCAGAAAGATTTAAAGGATAAGAATGTTCTCATTGAGAATTCACATGAAATGGAAAGAACACTAAGCAGAAAAACAGAAGAGCTAACCAAACAGTTAAAAGATCTGTCACAGAAATACACAGAAGTAAAGAACGAGAAAGAGAAGCTAGTAGAAGAAAATGCCAAACAAACTTCTGAGATACTTGCAGTGCAAAATCTTTTGCAAAAACGGCACGTTCCAATGGAACAGGTTGAGGCCCTGAAAAAATCTCTCAATGGCACAATTGAGAATCTAAAGGAAGAACTAAAGAATATGCAAAGGTGTTATGAGAAAGAGCAGCAGACAGTGACCAAACTGCATCACTTGTTGGAGAATCAAAAGAATTCTTCTGTGCCCTTGGCAGAGCATTTGCAGATTAAGGAAGCATTTGAGAAAGAAGTTGGAATCATAAAAGCTAGCTTGAGAGAAAAGGAAGAAGAAAGCCAAAACAAAACTGAGGAAGTCTCCAAACTTCAGTCTGAGGTTCAGAATACCAAACAAGCATTAAAAAAATTGGAGACTAGAGAGGTAGTTGATTTGTCTAAATATAAAGCAACGAAAAGTGACTTGGAGACACAGATTTCCAACTTAAATGAAAGATTGGCCAATCTGAATAGAAAGTACGAGGAAGTATGTGAGGAAGTTTTACATGCCAAAAAGAAGGAACTATCTGCAAAAGATGAGAAGGAATTACTACATTTCAGCATTGAGCAAGAGATCAAGGATCAGAAGGAACGATGTGATAAGTCCTTAACAACAATCACAGAGTTACAAAGAAGAATACAAGAATCTGCTAAACAAATTGAAGCGAAGGATAATAAGGTAGGGCACAAAGTAGTCTGCATGGCTATAGGATGGAAACTCCAGAGCAGAACTAACAGAGTAGGAGAATAGAACTCTTTACCATAGTATCCCATGCAGGTTTACAAAAGTATTAACAAAGTGAACATTAAATGCTCCCTTTTGGTTTTGACTACTGATAGGAAAAAATTTCTGAATTGAAAAAAGTAACACAAACAAAAACAAAAGCATTTTTCCTTCTGTTTCTTTAATTGAGGAAAGATGGGGTGACTCATGGTTCACTTGCCTCATAGATGAATAGTCAAAATTCAGGGGGTTTGTAGCATCCGAAGGGTGGGGATGGAGAGGATGGAAAAAAACTGTTTCTGGGCTGCAAGAAACCGAGGATTCTGGGGAGCATCCCAAACACATGATGTTGGAATTCACCCATGCCAACAAACTGATCCCCCCAATTCATTGTATGTTCTGTCTGCCATATCTTTCTATAGACTAGTCCCCTCACCCAGAATATCCTTCCCCTCCTCTCTACTGAGTTACATCCTATATATTCTTTAACACTTTATCTTCCATCCTAAAATCTTCACTGTGCAATCTAGCCTGCAGTAAACAGTTCCTCTTTCAAAATGCATGTTTTGTTTCAACTTTGCATTTGAAACATTTGTATTACCATGTTAGAATTATGTGGTTGATTTTCTCAGTCAGTTTTTAAGAGCAGGATTTATAACTTATCTTTTCTTTTTATCTTTTATTCTCATGGTACAATTTATAGAATAGATATCCAACAATAGTTTTAAAACTGGTAGTTGCATAGAGTTTGTACTGTGGAGATGAGACATGACTGCTGTTTTATCCATTCAACAAGTAATTATTAAATACCTTCTTCATGCCATATGCTGGGGATACAGTGATGTGTAAAAGGAGACAGACACCTAAGTGGAGAGGTACAAGTACTAACCTCTGGCAGGTCTTCTTTCATGACCCAGAATTTAAATGCTTCAAACTTGTTTGGAAGGTGGTTATGAATATAGTAATATATAATTATAATAGCTAATTATTAATATCTACTTATACTTGTCATTTATTGAGCCTGTCCTATGTACCAGACATATATTTATAATTGCATTTGATTTTCTTAACTCTGAAAGATTTTCTGTCTTTCACCAGTATGGAAACAAAAGCTCAGCAAAGTAAAGGAAATTAACCAAGCTCATACAAGTCAGACCTGTTAACTTTAAAGCCTGTGATTTTTCCATTACTCTAAACAGCTTGCCTGTTTTTTCCCCTCTCTACAACAAAGTAATCTTAAATAATTAAACTCTTGAAAAGGGAACAAGGCATGCCCATTAATTCTAGACTTAGAGGAGACACACATTCTTTTCTTTTCGTACTTTGTTGAGGGGAATGCCCCCTCTCTTCCTATGTTCCAAGCATTACCTGGAAGATAGTTTATATATCTTTATAGATAATTATGTATAATCTAAACGTAGAATGACTAAGGTCATGCTCAAATCTTTTGATATATGTAATATTCTTAATTTGGTATTGCTTTTATAAAGAATTTGCTGATAATTTAAAGAAATTAAATTACATATTGTAGATACTGTTGATAACTTGGCAGTATTCATACCTCAATTTTCTGATATAAATTTTGTCTTAACAAAGGAATGATTGTGCAGAGATGTTCATTATAAATGAATAAGTGAATAATATGTTTCTCCTACAATTTTTTTCCTTTGTTTAAAAAGATAACTGAACTGCTTAATGATGTAGAAAGACTAAAACAAGCACTCAATGGCCTTTCCCAACTCACCTACACAAGTGGGAACCCCACCAAGAGGCAGAGCCAACTGATTGACACTCTGCAGCACCAAGTGAAATCCCTGCAGCAGCAGCTGGCTGTGAGTAACCAGATGCATAGAACTCCGCGTTAGTATGTGCCGGCTCGCATTAGTTCCTAAAGCTTATTTAGAAATTAAATTGGTTTATAGCTGTGTTCAGATCCAAGAATGTAATTGTTTTTGCCAAAAGTTACCTATACTTGTGGTATAATAATATCATTTGTTGGTGCCTGCTATATGCCAGGCACTACGTTAAACATTTTACATACTGTATCTTCATCACAGTCCTGCAAAGCAGATTTTATTCATCGCTCCATTTTATTCTTAAGGAAACAAAGATTCAAGTACTTGATGCCTGGGGTCCTACAGCTGCGATGTAGACCTGGGACTGGCTGACTCCAAATCCAGCACCTTTCTCACTGCAGTGTACTCTCTAAAAATATTGGTCCACTAAACTAAAGGAGGTTTTTAATAATCTTTTATTCTTATGACCAAGGATGGGCATTCCTAAGGTTTTATTCCTTATATCCTCGTACATTAAAAGAAGGCATCTGGATCTCCATCTCTCCTTTATATATTAAAAGAAAGCATCTGTATTTAAAAGCTAAAATTGGAACTCTGCTCTAAGCCCTGTCACTTACAAGCAAGTAGCATTGAACATTCCATTTAAACCTTGGCATCCTCATCCATAAAATAGGATAATAAGAACTGATTACTTATTTGTTTATATTTTTAATTGAATGAGCTAATATACATTGAAATGCTAAGTAAAACATGGCCCAATCAAATGTAAATTGTTGCTAATATCCTATTTTGTAGGAATTGCTTATGA